AAGGAATGTCTTTATATTTATAAATTTTGTACTTCTGTGACAAAATCAGATTCAAAATCATGGGTATAGTATGAGGGGTCTTCAAAGAGTTCATTGAAAGATTTGTAATATCTTTTAATTCTATTTTTCCACGACCTTTTTGAAGTCCCCTTGTGCACTGATGGGAGGAATTCTTTGACTAACGTGGAGAAAACCCTCCTTCCTTAAGGCCCAGCATGTGGTTACATGCCCTCCCCCTGCGTTCTCTGCAAATGATCAACACTCTTTTCCCCAAACTCAGGATGGCCTGTTCCATGATATATCATTTTTGGTCATTAAATAACAGGATTCAATATTAATGTTGGCTTTCTCCATCCTTGTTTCACAAAGTGTTTTCAGCCAAAGATATTAAACAGTCAACCACTCTTTTCCCCTGTCAGTGAAACAGCCAGCATCCTGAAATCACAGCTCATTTGTACCACATTGGCGTGAAGATTCAGACCCCATTTGTCTCCAGCTCTTAAAGGCTGGTGTTAGAGTGAATGATGGACATTTTGTTTTGAATTAGCAAAAGGGAGGAGAAAAAGAAAAAAACCCAAGTAATAAGTTTGGTCTAAAATAATCTGTTTCAGGGAATGCAGCTCTGGCCTTTTCCTTTTGGAAAAGTCGATTTAAAAGCAAAAAAATCTAGATTTAATTTGGCATGAAGTTGGACCTGGGATACAGTGAATAGTAGGAAGGAAAGTGTCTCCGTTTTTCTCCCCCACACATTGTTTGTTCTACATAAGTCCTTCTGGAGTACTGTGCACAGAGCAGTGCAAGATGTTCACAGCTTCATCTTGTCGAACGTCCCAAGTTTGGAAGTAGTTCCGTCTGTGTCCTTTAACTATACAAATCCCATTACAGTTGGAACCTCAGGTAAGACTCGATAGCTTTGGTTCAGAGCTAAATAGCACAAGCACTCTTCTGTCTTTACTGCACACTCACTCGTGCTCATGGGAAGAAAAGCCTGGAAATGAGTTCTAGACCAGGGCTCCTGGTGCACCCCTGCTAGCTGTGCCCCCACCTCGGCTTGCCCACCCCGGAACAATCTCTTGCTGCCCATAGCCATACCAGGCAGGAGAGTTATTTCCACAAGGTGCCTCTGAAAGCCAGGTGTGATTCCCTGGCCGGGGATGCTCCATCATTTGGCTGAGGTTACAAAATCTGCACATGGTGGTGCTGGAATGTCCTCTTACCCTTCTCACCACGAGGCTTTCCAGAATGCTGGGGAGACCATGAGAATCAGTGTTCCCCATGTCCTCCCAATCCTTAACCAAACTTGGGCTATGCCCGGGCTCATCGCATATTTCCCTTCTTATACCTCATGACAGGGACCCTGAGAGCAGTCTCCTCAGGGGGAGACTCCCAGGGAACAGAGTGGATTCCGGACCTTCTCCCACAAGAGGCTAGCTCTGCAGCCACTACAAAAATTCATAGGAAAGAATCTTAGTTTTAAAAAGACCTCTTCAGATCCCACCATAACAAGTTTGGGCACACTTGAACTATGTCAAGGGTGTCCAGGGAGGCTCATTCTGTAAAACTCAAGGAAAGAGGAAGGAAAAAAAAAAAAAAAACCCAAAACAAAAATCCCTAAACTTCTCTTTCCACTCCATCTGGAGCTTCAACTGACTCCAAAAATATTGGCCCACAGTGGTAATAAACTCTCCTACTTCTGCTGTTCTGAAACAAGGGCACGGCCTGCTAGTGCTTATAAATCGAAGCACTTCTGTTACATGCTCGTAGGAAAATGATCTTTCTCTCCAAGCCTGTAGCTGACTGCAATTAATGAAATGCAGTCGGAGGCACCTATGCTGGCCGCTGGCCAGCATTCATTGAAACACCCCACCTAGGCCATTCATGGATTGCAGAGCTGTTTCCTCTTGACTTCTACATTTCTCATTTGCTAGAAATAGCAATTTTTGTAAAAATCACTTGACTCAGGTGTCAACATTTTGGGCAGCTTCAAGTAAATGGGCATCTTTTTCCTGGCTATTCCAGGAACACAGAGAGGAAAGTGTGGAAGTGGGTACTTGAAAAAATCAGATATCTCAAAGTTCCTTTTAAAAAATGGGTGGGTGGGATATGCAGAAAAGGAGTAGGAGACTTCAGACCTCTGATACCCTCTTCTGCTAATAATCAGACAATCCACAAAAACATCAAGTGTTCCTGCTAAAGAAGGACAACTAAGGAAGAGAGAAAGAGATTAGAAAAAAAAGAAGAAGAAAAGAAAAAAGCAAAGAGAGAACTCAAAGGAAAAGAAATGACCCTGGAAAATAAAAGAGAAATGGGTAAATACCTTTCCCCCTTTTACCTGTGTCACACTAAGCAGGGCAAATTGGGAAATCTAGTACTGGGGTAAATATGGCCCCATTAGAAATGCCATTTAATGGTGGGGCCCAGAGATGACAAGTGTGTCCTGGCTGTCACCAATCATGGCATGGCCCCTCTGCTCTGCACCAGCCCCATGGTGGCCTGGCAGTGAAGACCTAAAATACTGCCGATGCCTCCTCTAGGGAACAGGTGGAGTGGGGACAAGTGGGGGACTAAGGGAGGGGGTCAGTGTAAAAGAGGAATATTTCCCCCCGGCTGGGCCCTGTACTGTCTGGACAAGATGCTCTTCCACGGCAACTGAGTTGGATCCACCTCTGTCTCTTTGGTCATTAAGGAGTCTGATCCCGGCCACCCCTACTGTCTATTCTGATCAGCTCTGATTGTCTGATGAAGAAAAGGGCCCTAAAGGAAGATGCTGTCGTATGTCCTCTGGGCAGGCAGCCAGGGGTCAGACACAGGCCCGTGGTGGGGTTAACCAGGGGGGAGCAAAGTTGGGCAGGGCACGTCCCACAGGGAAGGTTTGGGGCACAGCCCCCCAAAAGAGAGGACAGAAGATGGAACAAAATAGGTCCAAAGAAAGAAGGGGAGAAATAGACACACACATTAGCCAATATGCATGTCACCAACCACGCTCGTTAGAAGCAGTGCGTAGATTTCTTCCTCTTGGGAGGATCTTCTGTTATTTACAGGGAAAACTTTCTACAACAATTTCTGATGCCATTTTTAAACCACTGCTCCTTTCCCTCCCCACGGTCTTCCTCGGTGGCTTCCTCCACTGACACGGGGTCACTTCCTATCGGTTATGACTGTGGAAATCTTTCTCTCTCTCTAGTTCTCACCTGAACTTCAGACTTACGTGTCTTTTGTTTTCTAGACACCTGCCCCTGGATGTCCCACAGGCCCTCAAACTCAGTAAGTCACAATCCAAACTCAGCATCCTTCCCTCTGGCTTCCAAAACAGTGTTCTCACGGAAGGGTGACCTCATCTGGGGCACGTTCATGCTATTTACTGTTTCCTGGCTCTTTGAGGAGAAAGGTAACTTTCCTGCCATCAGCCAGTCACATCTGTCTTTCAACTCCTCTCCCCAACCTTGACTTATTTCTGCATTTGGGCAGGGGGGAGTGGATGTGCAGAGAGTGAAGTGAAAGCACCATTAATACTCATTGTTTGGAGATAGTCTTAAAGCAAATAAATCATAGGTTCAGAGGCTGCCTCTAATTATCTATGCATTTATTCATTCAGTCGGTCATTTGATAAATATTATTAAATGTCTACTATATACGAAACCTCCCTAGTGCCGTGAGATATGTAAAAGGCACACTTTCCAATTTCAAAAATTGTATGTCATAGGGAAATGAGAGCTATACACAAAGGACTGTAACACATTGTAGAAAACCTGAATGCTCTGAGAGGTAGGTGAATGTTAAGGGAGTTCAGGAGAGGAGAATCAGAGAGAAGTCCTGATGCAATAAATTAAAAATCAGCATATTAGACAAAAAAATGCAGATGGCCATGTTATGCGCTGAATTGTGTCCCCACAAATTCATATGTTGAAGTCCTAACCCCCAGTATCTCAGAATGTGACCTTGTTGGAGATAAGGTCTTTAAAGAGGTGATTTGGTTAAAATGAGGTCTTTAGAGTGGGCCTAAGCCAATATGACTGCTGTCCTTACAAGAAGAGGAAATTTGGCCCCAGGGAGACAGACCAGTATCTCAGAATGTGACCTTGTTGGAGATAAGGTCTTTAAAGAGGTGATTTGGTTAAAATGAGGTCTTTAGAGTGTGCCTAAGCCAATATGACTGCTGTCCTTACAAGAAGAGGAAATTTGGCCCCAGGGAGACAGACGCCAGACGGGTGTACACAGAGAGACGTCCACGTGAAGACACAGGGAGAAGGCAGCCACCTGCAAGAGAGGCCTCAGAAGAAATCAACTCTGCCAACTCCTTGATCTCAGACTTCCATTCCTCAGAACTGTGAGAAAATAAATCTGTTTTTAAGTCAACCAGTCTGTGGTATTTTGCTATGGCAGCCTGAGAAAACTAGAATGGGGGAAACTGATATAATTCTGAGAGAATAATTGCCCAAGAACTGTACTAAATTTCTGGAAAACTTGTCTTCCTCTGGGGGCCAACCTTGGCAAAATTGTGAATGAATGAAGTTTCCTTTGGTTTCTCCCTCTGAAATCCCCTTTTTCTACTCCCCAGGTGGTCCCTGAGCTGGTAGAAATTTTCCTCCCAGGTGAGGAGGATTTGTGGAAGTGAGAGATAATTATTGCTCTTGAAATCACTAGCTTTTGGGCAAAGGCAAGCTTAGAGGACTGATTCATTGTCTCATATTGCTTAGAATCATATGCATTCTTCACAGGAAGTGAAAACTACATCACTGATTGGGAACTGCTCTGCTTGGGATATTACATATGCAGGAAAACCACTTTAAGAAAAGCAAATCAAATTGCAAAGCAGAAAAATAATGTTTTCAAAACTTGACAGATTCTGATTAATTGACTGGTAAGTAAACTAGATGAGGCATAGCAGAAAGACTGGTTTCTCACAGTGCATCTTTAGGTGCCAGAATTGAGGAAATCAGGCAGAGACTATGTAATTGCTAAGAGCAGAGCCCAAAGAAAAACATATAAACTCTACTCACAGAGAAGCAATCAGATGTCCACTTCCAAGCTTTCTGATTGATCACCAATTCTAGTGGAATTCAATGTGATGACCTTGAAATGTTTTAATGATACCTGAAAACATAATTAAGTGGAATGAATTTTAGTTAATGTAGACAATATATTTCAAAATATCATTTCTCCCACAAGTACTGTTGTTATTTAGGATTAAAGAGGAAATAAGGCATGGATATAAATAGCTACTGTGCATTTGCATTGTAAAGAAAATAAATACAATAATTACAGAATCAATCCCTGAATTATTCTAAATAATAGTGTAGAGAAGGTGGTATAGTTAATACAAACCCTGCGGCAAGGTCAGTATTTTATTTGCCTTGTTTCTCTTTCTCTGCTCCCAATTCCCTCAGTATTTTTACTTTAAAATTTGGGAATGAATAGAGGGAAAACAGAGGAAGAAAATGCCATAAGTGGAAAACTTTTTTTTTTTCCTCTATAGTGTCTGTGGATGTCCATGAACTATCCTGTTAGTGAGCCAAAGACAGAAAGGCTTTCAAGAGAAAACATAAAGTGAATGGCAAAGTGACTAAAAGTGGAATTTTTCTTCAGGTAAACTCTTTCCTTTCTATCTCCAGGGTTTAAGGCCAGCAAGCTGATGAAGCTCTTACTCTTTGTTTTAAGATCTTTTCTACCATCAGTCACCATGCAACTTCAAATAAATGCCAGAGTGAACTATTCCTCAGTCTGTCCCTTTAAGCTATAGCTGTTAATGCAGTGCCCAATGCACAGGTTCTGGCTGGTCTTGTTCAGAAACAGTTGCCAAAGTTCTCTGTGGGCAAAGCTGTGTCTAGACCGCACTTGGTAAGGAAGGAAAAGACCTGAGGTGAAGGAAGACGGTGGGGGCGTTGGGGGGAGCCAGACCCATTAGGCACACGAGCCTGTCTTCCTTCCCCAGTCCCCATCCTGGCCAGTGGCAAACAGCCAGGTACCGTTTACTGCTCCTTTGGTTTAACCATCTCCTCAGGCATGGGGCAAAATGGGTTTTATATAAGAACATTCACTATGGGAGAACCAAGGTGTAATAAAAGGAAAGAAGTAATCTCTCTCCTCTCGATCAGATTTCTAGTCCTCCAAGACTAATGACTTTCTTAGAGCCCTTGGGAAACCTCTAGCTAAAGCCATTCAGTAGCATGACAAATGTTCACTAGCATCTTTCCAGATTACACAAATAGAAAAACGTTGCCAGCACATATTTGCAAAAAATGGTTAAAATTCTACTTTAAAATTTCTACCACAAGTGTTCTCAGAAAGATGCCATTTTCCAAAGGGACATGAAGGGGTTGAGGGGAGGAGAGGGTCTCAAATGATAACTTACTATAACAGATAGTCATTGCAAAGGTTAAATTAAAAATCCTTTGAAAGGCATTCCTTGTTTTTAGAAAGGAAAACTCAATATCATAAAGATGTAAATTCTCTCTAAGTTAATAATAAACTTAATGTGATTTCAAGAAAAATATCCTGAAGTTAAAAAAGAAAAAAAGAATCCTTTATAAAAATGGATAACTTCATGGGCCGGCCCAGTGGCACACTAGAGAGTGCGCCGCTTGGGAGTGCGGCGGTGCTCCCACCAAGGGTTCGGATCCCATGTGGAGACAGGTTCCCGCTCACTGGCTGAGCGCGGTGCGGGGGCAACACCGAGGGTTGCAATCCCGTTACCGGTCAGTAAAAAAAAGACAAAAAGGAAAAAAAAAAAGGATAACTTTATATAGACAGCAAGAAAAACCAGGTTTTAGTTAATTTAAAATTTTACCTTCCACGGTTAAATGAGAGTCCCTTGATTTCAGCATTACTCTTTCTGTAAACAATCCACCAATGACTCGTTCATGATAAACTCCACTTTCATTATGAAAATAATAACAACTGGTTTTTATTAAATATTTTTTAGTGCTAGTTCCTGTGCTGAGCACACTGCACACGTCTATTTTATTTGATCTCTATAACAATCTTGTAAGATACATATTCTTATCTTAGGATAAGCTCTGATAAGTTCGTTGTGTTTCAGGCATTTGTCTAAATTCACCCTGCAGGTAAGTAGTTAAGCCAGTATTGAAAGCCAGGGGCTGGCCCACGTGTGGGTGTATTTGAAGGACACGTATTTGCGAGTCACTTATCCGCTGGGTGAGTGCTCTGCCCCAGCACAGGGCACATGGTGCAGAACGAGGACTCTGCTTCCGTGGACAGAATCACATCCGGGTGGTGTACAGACACACCCATGTTTCCCGTAGTGAGTAAATCAAACAGTGGGATGTGGAGAGGGCCACAGGAGGACCCCTGGAGGAGACATCTAGGTTGGAAATACATTTCTAGGAAGGAATCACCCAAATAAAGATCTGAGGAAAGAGTGTTCCAGGCAGAGCCCTTGAGAATCCTGGAGTGATATTTTTGTGAGATGACCATGGGCTTTGATCATGAAACTCTTCCAAGTTAATTCTGCCTGTATGGGGTTCAGGCTCGTGTGTCCATTAGTAGAGTGCATGATGCTGAAAGATGTGCTGAACAATGGGTCTACCAAACAATCATCTTCAAAGCGCTGCATTTGCTGGAAAGCATGAGGTGGGTGGTGGTGCTGGTGGCCTGTCCCTGTCCACAGAGGAGGGTACCAGGGATGCACACAGCCACCTTTGCATGCAGTGCCTAGAAGGACAGAGGCTCCCCACCCCACTTTTCACTTGGTAAACGTGAAGAGAGCTGCATTCTGCAGGTTCACATGAGCTCCTTTCAGGCTCATGCGCTGGAGAATAAGGCAGAGTATTTCTTAGTAATAGAAGAATAAAAAAGTTACAGGACGTAATCCTTGGAATGGGAAAGGAATGGTAAGTAGCTATTTCAGTCTTAGTTGGCAGGAAGTCACATAATTTGTGGGAATGGAAATTAAAATAAAATATTTAAAAATAGATCTATGGGTTTTAGTCAGAATAAGCCAGTAACAATAAAATATTAATAATTGTCTCTGTTTTACATTTACAGCTGAATATGGGATCTAGGAGTATGCTAAAGGGAGGAAATGTGTGATCTTAGGGAATTTAGGTCATTTTAAAAAATACTAATGAGTGAATTGACCTTGAAGAAGTCATTTAACTACTTCTGGCCTCTGAATTTCTCCATCCGTAATATGAAGCATTTGGAATAGATTAAAGATTCCTTCAACTCAGATGGTTTATGTATAATTCTATGATCACTTAAGGAAAAAAATTTATTGTGTATGTCTCAGTATCTGGTAATGACCTTCTCATAGTTGTGAATAAAACAAGTTCAACCAAGTTCCCTTTTTCAGCAGCTAACAGGGTACTCAGAGAAGAGTATTGCTTTTTGGGGATATTCCCCACCCCTTTCCATCATTTCTAGAAGATAAATGTATTTTATAGTTCCAAGAGAAATGATAATATATCACATAATAATATCTATAATTTATTGAATGCCCGCTATGTGCAAGGCACCTGATATCTGTTATCCCACTTAATTTTCACAAGAAAACTGCAAAACAAGTTGTTTTTATTATCCCCATTTGGAAGTGAAGAAACAGATTCAGATTCACTGTCATATAGTTAATAAGCAACAGAGTTAGAATTGAAACCCAGATTTGTATTATTCTGAAGCTCTTCCCATGACTGAACACATCGATGACATTTTCTTTTACCTTTTTGAGATCTATAAAAAAATGTTTTGAGGGCCGGCCCGTGGCTCACTTGGGAGAGTGTGGTGCTGATAACACCAAAGCCACAGGTCCAGATCCCTATATAGGGATGGCTGGTTCGCTCACTTGGGAGAGCGTGGTGCTGACAACACCAGGAGGGCCGGCCCGTGGCTCACTTGGGAGAGTGTGGTGCTGATAACACCAAAGCCACAGGTCCAGATCCCTATATAGGGATGGCTGGTTCACTCACTTGGGAGAGCGTGGTGCTGACAACACCAAGTCAAGGGTTAAGATCCCCTTACCAGTCATCTTTAAAAAAAAAAAAATGTTTTGGAGGCTTGTTTTAATGAGTCTGTTGTAACAATCTTGTAAGATACATATTCTTATCTTAGGATAAGCACTGATAAGTTTGTTGTGTTTCATAATGAAATGGCTTGTGGTGGTCCAGTGCTCTCATCAAGAATAACAAGAAAATCTGGAGAAAATTTCAAAAAACCAAAATCTATTGGAAGCCATCAGAGACCTGCTGTAGTAGACTGAACTTGAGGGGCCAACACCTTGGAAAGAAGGAAGACCTGGAAAAGTGACTTCAAATTCAGTGATTTCCCCTTTAAGACATTTGCTGATCTTTAAAGACAAAGGACAGGAGGCTATAAGAGAATAAGAAACTAAGAATGTTTGTGACACACAAAGAAAGCAAAGTTTTCAGCAGTCTCATGGAGCTGAGTAGGAAAAACTTAAATTTCAAGAAGGGAGGAACATTTTGGGGTTGATGGAGCTGTTCTATATCTTATTTGTCGTGGTTGTTACACAACCATATGTATTTGTCAAAACTTGCAGAAGTGTACACTAACAAGAGTAAATTCTACCGTGTGTAAATTATACTGTGATAACAAGAAAATAGAAGAAAGAGTTTTGGGATACGATCTCAGTTAGGACCCTTGGAGTCCTCATCCATGAAGGGGGACAAACCAGAGAGCGAAGGAATCACTCAAAATGGCAGATGATTTTCAAGTCTCCTTATCCCTATTCAACTGGAGTAAACTTCTCCAGCTCTATCACACTACCAGATGACAAGACAATCCCTCACTGGAGGAAAGCAACATCATCCAGCACCTCAACTGCATATCTGTACGGATAAAAAGAAAAGCAGGTCTTGACCTCTATTTAACACCATTCCTCCAAATACTCCCAGATTGATTATAGACCTAAATGTGAACACTTACACATTAAAGCTTTTAGAAAAAAAAAAAAAGGTAGGAGGTATCTCTACAATCTTGGGGTAGGCAAAGATTTTGTAAATAGGATATAAAAATCACTAAGAATAAAGGAAAAAATAAATTATACTGCATTAAAATAAAAAACCATAAAGACAGTGAAAAGCCAAGTCACAGACTGAGAAAAAAATATTAGCAATAAATAT